CGCTTACCACATGAAAAGCAGGATCCACGTTCTCGTTTTGGCTTGGGGCAGGCACTAGCAAAATGCCCTGTTGCAAAACAATTGAAACACTTATTTCTCGAACCATCTTGGCTCGAAGAAGGCGAAGGATTTGGGGCGCCTCTAATTGGACCTAGGCTACCATTTGAATTAATCCCTCGGACACTAGGAGGGGCATTGCCTCTCTCAATAGCACTAACATTGGACATAATACGTAGCATCTCATCCAGAGAATTAAAGTCTTTGATTCGTGCCTGGGACTGCAAGGATTCGTTTGTGAAGCCATCAATGATGTAATCAATTAAATTACATTCGGGTAAGTTCAGACAATTACCCAGCATAATCTTGTCGTGGAAATAAACTGAAAACTTTTCACCTCTTTTCCATTTTCTGGCTTCAAAGCGACGCATCCTGGAAACTCTGTCTAATCTTGAACCAAACATTTTCCTCAGCTCGATCTTCAAATCATCCCATTCCAACATAACAAGCTCAGTCTTTGAATGGTACCACGATCGGGCTTGGTCACATAATTTACCAACTGCAATCAGCATCATAATTTTAGGTTCTACATTATAGGTTTGTTGCACAGCCTCAACTCTTTGCAACCAAATTTCGACATCTTGGCCAGCGCCAGCAAATTGGGGCAACAACATTCCAACTTCGTCATTTTTGTATTTCTTTGGGGGCTCCACTGTCAGATTTTGGGGCGCCCGTTGCCTGTCCTGGTCACGTTGACGCAGATTGTCGAAAGAAATCATGGCCCTGACTGTGGCCTGTACAATTTCATTGATTGTCGCACTGGATGCTGTGTTTTCTGTATCCTGGGCATCGTGAAAATTCGTAGGGTTACTCGGCCTATCAAACCCTGCTTGAGCGATGCCCTCGGAGTCGTCATAACTTGTGGGATTATTCGGATTATTCATCATAAATTCAATACATAACCTCGAAAACAACGTTGATGTGTTTTATCGTGCAACCCCACACCTGAGCTGTAGTAAAAGACGAAATAATGGTGGAGGGATACTACTTTTGGTTGCCACGATAAAATCAAACAACACTAATCGACTAATTAACGTTTAATTAAGCAAACTTACGGGGAACATAATTGTGCGTCTTGATCCCGACATAATCATGGGAGAAGAGGGCGATACCGCCAAAATTAGACAGGAGCATACCTGGCAGTATTGACACATAACGGATGTCACTAACGTCAGATGCCAAGCAACGTTGCCAAACATGCAGAGTAGCAACAAATAGAGGAAACGCGCCAAATTCAAAAATGCTTAAAATTTGACTACATTATTTTTTTTAAATTATAAAATATTCCTATTCTATGGTAGGTATATGTATAATAAGTACCTATATAAAACACAGGCATTTAATTTGTTATACAAAAGACAACTTGGCAACGCAGCCTAGCAAATACGCGTGCATTTATGGCCTGCCTCAAATTAATTTAATCGCAGAAACGACTGATTTTACTAGGACCAGTGGCGGCTCGTGACTATTTAAATTGAGGAGGCTAATTACAGTATAGAATTTCATGAAATTCCTCGAAATTCCATTTAGATTTCAATTTCAAAATTCAATATTTTTTTTTTTAACTTCACTAAAATTCCTCAAAATTTTACCACTGAAATCCTGGAATTCCACAAAAATTCTTCGGAATTTCATTGACATTTCATGCAATTTCTTAAAAATTCCTCGGAATTTACTAAAATTTTATGAGAATATTCACGTTCATAACTGAAAATTTCTCAAAAGTCCAATGAAACTTCAAGGAATTTTCAAAATTTAATTTATTTTCATAAGAATTTCACTGAAATACTCTTTTAATAGCCAGGAATTTCTGGGAATATTAATGAGGTTTCAAGTAATTTCTTAAAAATTCATCGAAATATATTGAAATTTCATGTTATTACGTGGAATTTTTCGGAATATCATCGAAATTCCATGTTTTTAGTTGGAAATTCCTCGGCATTACTAAAAATCAGTAAAAACTGAAATTTCATGTTGGGAATTTCGGTGTAGTTTCATGTAATTGTTTAAAATTCCTCCATGTAATTCATTTAGGATTTCGTGTAATTCGATCGGAATTTCACTGAAATTTCAAGTAATTCGAGAGGAATTAAAATTTAATGTGAATTCTATGGAAATTTTCACATCTAATTCCTTTTTCAGAATAACATAATTATTCTACCGAAATTCCACTAAATTATGGAATTCTGAAATTTTAATAGATTTTTGGGGATTCCAAAGGATATTTGGGAATTTTAAAGGAAATATTTTTCAGAAATCTCAATGATTGGGTTTAAAATAACCTATAAATCGAGATTTGATAAAAACATATGACAACGCTGCTCATTATACAACAAACGTCAAAAAAATTAAATATCAAAGTAGGCCTTGGTTTTTTTTGACAATCGATATAAAATGGTGTCTTTTTGTTTCAAAGATTACGATCCGAAAAGCCGAAGTATTAAAATCAGTATAATTCCGGCCCTTCGGGCTCATGATTAAAATAACTCCGGCCTGGGCCTGTCGGGTTCGTATAACTCCGGCTCTTCGAGTTCGCATGATTCCGGCCCTTCGGACTCGTATAACTCCGGCCCTTTGAGCTCATAATTGAGATAACTTCAGCCTTCCAGAATCGAGATTCGAAAAAAAAAACATATGGCAACACTGCTTATAATACAACAAACGTCAAAAAATTGGCCCTGTTTGGCTACTTTTTATGTATTCGCCGAGACTAAATCTATATGCCCATTGAAATTTTGACAGCTGTCAATCTCAAAAAAGAAAAATCTTTTGTTTTTTCCAAAAAACAAAGGTCATTTTTTAGTGGGTTTTAGGGTGAGATTTATGTAGCAACAGTTGGTACAAAAAATTCAATTTCCCTTCGGGTTTGGAATTCGAATTTTTGAATTTTCCTGGCTCCTGATTGGTTTGGGAATTCGAATTTTGTTTATTCCCGGCTCTTGATTGGCTTTAAAATAATCTATAATTTCGGCCCTTCGAGCTCGAGATTCGAAAGAAAAACATATGGCAACACTGCTCATGATACAACAAACGTCAAAAAATTGAAATTTCAAACCTTGAGTTTTTTGACAATCGATACAAAATGACGTCTCTTTGTTTCAAAGATTACGGCCCGAAGGGCCGGAGTATGAAAAATCAGTTAACAATGAACGGGTTCGTACGGATAAAACTTTTGTCACACGACACTTTGGCAATATCGACAAATGTCATCTGTCAAATTTGACACATGTTCGACTTTTTCTCCGCTCTACTATAAAAGCTACGAAAATCAAACCCCGGTACAAGGCAGTTTTGCGACGCTAACTATCGATTTGTGTCAAAAAAAAATTGACAGCTGTCAACGTCAAAAAAGTTTTTTTTTTTATTTTGCGAATTTCGAGAAAAAAAGTTATAGAAAACGATCCCCGGACCCCAAAAACCTTAAATATAAATTCCAAAAAAAAAGCCAACGAAAATGACATTCCAAAACCTACTTGATAAAACTAAAGTTTTTTTCACTTACTCCGTTAAAACACTGGAAATTTTTGGTGGAAAATGAAGAAAACTCAAAGTCTCGTACTTTAAATCAGTTTTTCCGACCAGAAAAGCCCTGGAAAAGCGGACAAATTCAAAGAAAAACCTCTAAAAATGACATTTCAAAGCCTACTTAATGAAATTTGAGTTTTTGTCACTTAACCCATTGGAAAACTGGGAATTTTTAGCACAAAATGTAGGTAATTCAAAGCCTCGTATTTCAAATCGGTTTTCTTGACTGAAAACGGCTTGGAAAAGCGGAAAATTCGAGGAAAAACTGGATAGAAATGTGAACACGTGAATTAAAAATTGTCGACTGTCAAAACTGGCAAATGACATTTATTAAAAAACCTATTTGAAGTTGGTACAAACGGTGTTGCCACATCAAAACTTTAAAAAAAAACCCTTTTAAATGGGATTTTGTTATTTATATCATTTTAAAACTGGACATTTTTGCTAGAAAATGAAGAAAACTCAAAGCCTCATATGTTAAATTGCCTTTTTCCATTGAAAATCCCCGGAAAAGTGAAAAAATCGAGGAAAAACTGGTAAAAAGTTACAAGGCGTCACTTCAAAATGGCCAACTAAAAGCAACGTTGCCACATCTCATTTCGGAAATTATAAATACCATTTTAAAAGGGTTTTTTGTTTAAAATTCAATTTAATAATTAATTAATAATGATTATAATAATTAAAATTCCCCAAATAAATCATAGGAAACTTGTTTTTAGTTTAATTTTAATGAAAATGACATTACAAGGTTTCCTTATTGATTATAGTGAGTAAGACAAAGACAATGATAAAGTAGTATATGTTTGCAAAAACCACCGTTTTCTGAAAAAAGTAAAAATCTTAAGAAAACCAACATTCCAAAGCCAATTTGATAAAACTAAAGTTTTTGAATATTCCCGAATCTTTGATCGGACGCTAAAAATCGCATTTTAAATAATCCTGGTTTTTAATTGGCTCTAAATTATCCGCTGAATATATAGACTGAGCCCCGTGATTAAAATAACTCTAGCCCTTCGGGCTCGCGTACAACTCCGGCCCTTCGGGCTCGCATATAACTCCGGCCCTTCGGGCCGGAATTACTGAGTATCCCAGATTCACAGATTTTTGTCGTGGAGGCGCGGGATTGATTGAAATAATGTTGTCAAATTTTTCTAAATTACATTGAAATATCGAAATTTGGAAAGTGTAATTTGTGAATTATTATTTTAATTAGAAATTAGGAATAAAAAACTGAGATTGAATTTTTAATTTTTTGGGGGAGGCTTAGCCTCGCCTGCCTCCTCTGACGAGCCGCTACTGACTAGGACACTAGCGCCATCACGTAGGTTTATATTTTCGCCGCCGGACGGTTCTTCTAGAGACGTTAGTCTATAATATTCTTTGATCGAGGGTTGAATTTTGAAAAAAAAAAACAATAATAAAAAAAATAGGTTTATTAATAGGCTTATGAAACTCATACTAAATTTTTTACATGTCAAATATTGCCATTTTACAATAGATTCTCATTTCAAACTTTCCAAATCAACTATCAACAATTTCTCAATAAAACCCAAGGTACACAAAGCCAAATTTCTACATTCAGTATTGGGTTCCCCTTTGGTTAAATCAGCTAACCACAGTTGTAGTTCAAATAACTCATTCATAAAATCATTTACTAAAATACTTTGTGGCACTGCTAAAACCGCTGCTACGATAAGATGTAATATTGCTATCCTAACTTCGATGTCCTTGTGATAACGCAAAAACCGAGAAAAATATAAGGCTTCTTTTGCCATTTTTAGGGCTATGGGACAGTTTTCCGCAGATTGAATTATAATTGCCAGTGTTTCTATAAAGTGTATTGACAAAATTAAATCGTTCTCTGATGAAAGTTTGTGCTGATTGTGATTATACATTAGCGGAAAAAAGAAATAACCTGCCACATCGGCGAATTTATTTCTTTGTTCATATTTTACTATTTTGTGTTTGTGAAAATACCTGGTTTTACTTTCTAAACGTTTTTTAATAATTTCTTGATGTGAGTTTACATCTTTTTTATTAGTTTTTTTTATTTCATTAACTGGCTTAGTCAGACTAGACAAAGTTATGCTGCCTTGTCTTAAAATATCGAGCATCAGGATTTTTTGACGTAAAGAATATTTTCCCGCTTCAGCGTGAATTTCTTTACACAAATAATCAGCATAAACAGCTGGATAAACGCAAGTTATTGCAACGCAACTTTCAAAAATTAATTTATCAAAATTTTCCATATAAAATTTCATATTTAAAGCTATTAGTATTGTTAGTATTTCCAAGCCAATTTCGACATCATTTTCTGGTAATTGTTGAATTATTAGTTTTTCGCAATTTTCCAAACACAAAGTAAATGCATCTACATCGTCGCTATCTTCTACTAAAATAGTTATAACATCTCTTAAATAGGCTGGAGGTTGTTTGGATAATATTTTTACTTCATTATCAGTATCAGTATCATATGGTTCAAATTCATCATCCGAATCTAATTCAAAAGTATTATCAATTATGATAATATCATTTTTTGGTTTAACATATTCTGAAATAACTATTTCATTGTGTTGATGTTTTATGCGAAATTTACGTTCTGGAGCTATGTATTGTTTTTCAGATTTATTATGTAATTTTACAATAAACGTTTCAATATCGTCGAAATCACATTTTTGTTTATAAAGTTGCACTAAATCTAAATTCATAAAATAATCCAATTGTGCAATTATCACTTTAGTATCGGCACTTGTTTTTTCATAATTAAATTCCAGTGATTGATTTTCTAGGAGTTTTGTAAGAATCTCTCCAATTTTCATGCCCAAATATCTTATAGGTTCTATGGCAATTTCTAAATGCATCTGTATGCCCCTATGAACGTTTTTCTCGATTTTTGATTTTTCATAGTCAGTTAATCCAATTTCTTTTAGGCAATTAACTGCACAAACTATGAATTTGCATATTAGCAGTTGATGTTCGACACCTGTACGTTTTATTGATGATTTATTTGCCCATACTGATACTAAATTCATTAGAAACTTTACTAATTCAGTATGTGAGGCTTTGCCTAAATATAATATCAAATTTGTTACAAAATTTTCATGATTTGCTTCTATGAATTCAGTAAATGAGAGTTTGGTACATAAAATATATTGCCAATTTGGATTTTCTATAAGTTTTTTGCTCAATAGATTTGTGATTAAATATTGCTTAGGATTGATTCTTGTCAAACAAATTTTTGCTAAAATATCTATTGCAGTTGTGTTAAGAATTTGAAAAACTTCCTGCAATATTCCTTGATACAAATACAATTTTTGGCTTGGCTTATTTGTTATTAGTGCCAAAATATTGACAAAATCTATAATTCCATCGCAATTAGTCTTTTCATTGAAATGTATAATAATATTGCTTAAAAATATTGCCAATTTATCAAAATGGATATTATTTTGTGCTTTAGAATCAGCATAAACCTCAGAAGCTAAAAATTCTATAACTTTAAGAAAATTATAAAACAGCAAATTGGAAAATTGCTTATTGCTAAGAAAAATTGGAGCATTTCTTTCCAATTTATTAGCAACTCTAGTGGGCAAAGATATTATAATATTGACCATACCAGACCAATTATCAAAAATAATATCATTAGATTCAGTTATTAAGTAACAATTTGCAACAATATATGCAAATAAAGCATCTGATTCAAATAAAACTTGAAGACATCCGGCAACGTTGGCGCCTTGGGTATTTTTCTTATTCCTAATATTTTTGACTAGCACTTCCAAAATTGCTTCGAAAAAATCTGAATCTTCAATGCTAAAAATGTTTCTGATACTTTTGTAGATTTTGCCATCACGAAATGGAAAATTACTATCAAATAGATCAACTACTATGACTTCAATTAGGGTGGAAAATGAATTTTCTGCCAGATGTTTATAGGAAACCTCCTCTGATCCTTGTAGTTTTTGTATATTCAATATTTGCGGGTAATTTTTTAAAAGGTCATCCAAATATTGTAGTATTTTGTCTATATCTTCTTGAGATGTTATTTTTCCAATTTTCTTTAGCTTATCTATTGCGGTCACTGTGAATTCTTCCAAAGATTTTTGTAGAGTGACTTTTTTGGTTGTCTGTCCATCTGCAAGGGGAAACTTCTGTAAATTTATCATATTTGATCATTTTGTTAATGGATTTTCATGTTATTGAGGTTAATTAACCACCTCATTACTATTTTATTTATTTACAGTCCATTCAGTTAAGGAAATTTATCTTAAATAGTGATTTTTTAATATAATATATTCCTATTCTACTATTCCATTTGATTTATTGGCTGTCATATTACATAATATTGTTACTTTTGAGAAATATCATGTTTTGAGGCATATTTTCCAAATACCATAAAAAAAAAATAAATGTTAAAACATTATTTTGTTAGAAATTCAATTTTCGCTCACCATCAAAATTGTCCAAAAGTCCTTCTTGGTTTAATATGTTATTATTTTTTGCATGTTCAGCATGTTGTAAATTTAAATTACTAAAATCTCCCAATAAATCATTTCCACTATTTTCAATAAATGGCATGATTGCAGGCGGTCGTGAAAATTCTCCAATCAAATTTCCACTAGTTGACGAAATATTTTGAGATGTACTTGAGGAAATGAGCAAATTTGATTGAGAAAGTCTAAAAATAAATTATTAAAAAAACAAAAATTGACAAAAAATTTATGTTCTACTTACTTGGTTCCTAATAATGCTGAATTGAAATTGCCAAAGTCATCAGCTCCTTTGCTGCTCAACTCGTTATCAACAATTTCCAATATTTCACCAGCTCTGGGATTGAAATCTTCAAATAGATCATCTGGAAGTTTTGGAAGGGGATTTTGTATTGAATCTCTGACACAATCAGCTGAATCAATCTGAGAAACGAATTTCATTAACCAATTCTAGTAGTAGTTCAGTTTCCTCACCTCTATTAATGGCTTCTGAATTGTGTTTGGTGAAGCATTAAAGGTCAAATTTACTTTTTCATCATCTTTATCTGTATGTGAACTATTAGTTATCACTGAAAAAAATATCAATCTTAAATGCATCAAATAAAACATCTTATTTATATTGTTTTGTTTTACCTCTGGGGAGATTATCATTACTACTATTAACATAACCAACATCTTCTTCAATCGATTTGTTTTTTTTATTGAAATTCTTATCCCAGTTAGTTTCGGCAGAATTGTTTTTACTAAATTGTTTATCATCCATTTTTTTTGAAGTAGAGCCTGAAAAAAAAAAAAAAAAAATTGTCACTCCGATCAATATGTAGACCAAATAATACTTTTTAAAAAAAAAATAGGTTTTAATGGCAGAAGTAACCCTCTAAATTTAGAGAGGGTTCATTGGGGTTTATATCAAAACCTAAATCTTCTCAGGTTTGATTTGGAACATATACACATACCTAATCTAGATTCAAGAGTAACTAAAACGTTTAATTTAGGTGCTGAAAAGGTTTGTAAGGACAAAATATTTACAAGGTCATTGGTCACAATTTGACCAATTAAAAAGCACCAGAAAATGTTGGTTTCGGGTATACAAGGCGTTCCATAGAGAAAATGTCAGAACAGTGATACTTTTTTCCGAAGTAGTGTAGAAGTAAATCTTTCAATTGGCCCTAATGGTCAATCAAATTTTAATGAAAGCTCAAACTCTTCGAATGTAGCAGAAGTCAGGGATTTTCATATAGTACAAGATATAATTACCCGAGTAATTACCCTAAGTTAGTTCATCCTGAAATAGATAAAAATAAGGTAACTTTTGTTCAACTTAATATTCGTTCATTAAGAAATAAATTAGATAAGTTGTTTATATTATTTCTCCAGGATTTTAATAGTCCGGATATAATTTTACTTACAGACCACTGGCTGGAAGTTTCTGAGCACTGCAACGTTTAGGTTTAGGAGTACTATATTTTATCCAAATTTTGCAAACAGAATCTAGCTGGATATTGTCAACTAGCTGCTTAGGAAAGGAGGACCCGGTATTCAACCTTATTAATTTAATTGCCGATTCGATCGAAAGTTTATTGCAAGTCAGCAATAAATTAATATAAATTGCGCTGCAAGCCGCAGCAAAGGCAGACTTAAACCAGTACAAGTACCTCTCGTTGGAAAAGCCCCTCTGGAATTAAGTCTCCCCAGTGCAAGTACCTCTCGTTGGGAACGCCCCTCTGGGTATCTTCAGCCTTATCGTTGTCCAGTGCAATTACCTCTCGTTGGGAACGCCCCTCTGGACAAGGCATAAGGGTGACGATAAACTTATCTACAGTCCCCCAAGCAGAATTGACGTGTGGCCCCCTATAAGGACCCCAGTGTACGAAGGGTCATGTACCTTATAGAATTAGCATACATGTAAGGTTATATTTGGGAAAATATATAGCATATATTTTTATATAACCTGAGCGAGTTTCTCTCCATCTACCCCCAAAGCTACAAACCCCCCATGTCACCCCCGTAAAGCGGGTAGTTGTGACATATTTGGTGGAGGTGCCGTCTCGAAACCGACGCGCAAGAACCGACGTCGTAAGGCGCCTTTGAAGAAAGCTAACACCCAAACACGTCACCAGGCGGTACGTCGACAAGAGAAATTCACGACACCGTGGCGAAGGTGAAGAGAAGACAGAAGAATAAATTGTGACACATAGTTAGTACCGCCGCCATTGTGGCAAGAATAGATGCCAGACAAAACCAAATCTAATTTGAGGCCAAAGAACGCAGCAGCTGCAACACCAACAGAATCATTCAGACCGTCTCATAGGAGCACAGGATTTGAATACTCATTTTCCCAGTCAAGAAGGCCACTTCAAAGATCCCCATCAGGGTCAACCAGTATCAGTTTAGAACAAATTGAAAGTGAAATAGAAAACCAAGCAAATAATCAAACAGACTACGAAAAAGACAGTGTTTTTGGTAGCCCACCAGACCTTACCCTTCAAGAAGCACCAAAACACAGGCAACCATCTAAAGAGGAAGTAGATCAACCGGATATAATGGCGAACACCACAATAACTGATGCTATAACAGCGGAGAAAAAGGCGAAGTTGCCTCAGTTTATCAGCCCTCTGACCTTCCAGCCATGTAAAACTAGCGCGATCGAGTTCCTAAGAACATATGACAGATCAGCGATAGCAAATGGGTGGGACGAAAAGCTGAAAATTGTTTATTTTGAAACGTATTTAGATGGAGCCGCAAACCTGTGGTTTCAGGAATATAAGCGCGACCACCAAAACAACAGCTGGAAAGACATTGTCAAAGATTTTTCAGAGGAATTTGAGGATACAGATTACCAAAGGGCACTCAAGAAAAAAGTCGAAAACAGAAAACAGGGTCAAGATGAGTCAGTCAAGGAATACTTGTACGATTTACAAGTATTATACCACAATTACACGCATACATTTGATTTACAAGAATTTGTAAGGATTTTCAGCGAAGGATTGACAAAGGCAAATCATTACACTTACTACTGGTTAACAAACCCGCCGAACAAGCCACCAACATCACTTATACAATTAAAAGAAATAGCAGACACAATAGATAAAGCTCCGAAGAAAAGTGCAACGCAAGATACCTAAATTACCAGCTGTACGGAAAGAAATACAATAACAGACACAGAACTAAAGATATGTCATTATTGTGGAAAAAGAGGACATGTAATGGCCACCTGCAGGATTCGAATGCAAGGAGAACACACAAGCACAAGAGTACCAATAGCTAGCCAAACGTGTTATAATTGTGGCAAGACAGGACATTTCGCAGCTGTATGTAGGAGCCAAAAGATGAGAAATCATAACTACAACCCAAAAATTGCCACCGTTTGTTACAACTGTGGAAAAACAGGACATATTGCAACAGTATGCAGATCCCAGCCTCAAAGGAACAAATCGTATACGCCACGAAACAACAAAAACAATCCAGGTTGCTCTGTTTGCGGAAAACAGGGTCACTATGCAAACACCTGTACAACCCGACGACAAAACCCAAACGAGAAGGGATGGCAAAATTAAAAGCCCCTGCCATCCTTACCATGGGGAAGAACAATAGCATGGGAATCTTGCACATCACAATTAGATTAAATAATAAGTACATGTCAGCAATCGTGGATACAGGAGCACAAGATAGCGTTCTACAAAGAAGTCTAATCAAAGAGGAACTAACAAGAAATGATGACACGGTTCTAGTCACTGCAGGAGGACACCAGATAAAAGTTTTGGGAGACATTGATGTTCCAATAGAAATACCAGGGAGTCAGAAATGGAAGGGCAGACTAAACGCCAAAGTGATTTCATCATTAACTCAACCAGTCATCCTAGGCATGGAGTTTTTGACAAAAAATAACGCGATCATAGATCTCCCAAGGAAAAAACTGATTCTGAATGGTCAGTATGAAATACCTCTAAGACAAATGAATAATGAAAAAATCAACATGTGAGAGCTGGTCACAACAAAACAACCGACTAAAACGAGAGAGCTTAAACTAGATACTTCAAGAGATGAACAAGAGTTTAACAAGTTTGTAAGAGAGCACATTCACATAAAAGATGACCAGGTTAACGGTCTCCTGAAAGAAGAATATGGAAACATAGACGTCCTAACGAACGATGCCGTTTTAGTAGTAGGAGTAACCCAAAACTACAAATCAAAAAAATCAGTTTTCAGAAAATATAGGCATATGATTCCAAAAAAGAAAGAGAAAGGGACCATTGGAGAGCTATCTATGTCGAAACAAGGAAAAAAATCAGTAATTTTTCTATTCACAAGAGAATCAATGAAGAAGAAGCCAAGTCCAAGAAATATGTATAAATGTCTCACAGCACTGAGGAACAATATCTCAAAAAATAAATCCATCAAAAAATTAGTCATTCCAAGACAAGGATGGGGATTAGAAAAAGAATGGACAAGATTTAAACAGATGATATATTTTCTATTTGAAGATGCAGGGGTCCAAATTCACATTTATAGGGAAAAACCTGGGGATAAAGCTAAAGAAGAAAAGCAGGAAGAAGAAATTAGGCATCTGATGCAAATCGATACAGAAACCAAGAAAAAGACATATAAATTGGGTACAAAGAAAGATTATATGGTATCTCAGAATGAGTTAAAAACATTGAAATTAGATATTATGGGCAAAAATGGTGAGATTAAAGATAATACTACGTATACATGCGTATATAATTTAGACTGGTTAGCAAAAAATCATCTTGAACAAAAAACGCACATTCACACCAATGAAGGTAGCCTCATTTTAAAAGTACAATCAAACACAAGGAACCACAATAGCATTTTTGGCAGAAACTGCATCAGAGACAAATCTTTCACACAATTTCATGTTACAAGCAGAAAAAGACGAAGAGAGCGAAGAAATAACAATGGAAGATCATAAGTTAGACAGCATCACAAACGAGAAGAACAGGCATGAACTCAAAGAACTCCTTCTGGAATACAACGACGTTTTCGCGAAATCCACAAAACATATGGGAAAGACAAACTTAACAGAACACATAATAGACGTCGGAGAGGCTCGCCCAATAAAGAGCCGCCCATAGAGTATCACAAAAAGAAAGACAGATTATTGACGAACAAATCCAGGAAATGCTCGATAGTAAAGTAATTCGGCCTTGCCACTCTCCATGGGCTAGCCCTGTAGTGCTAGTTAAGAAAAAAGATGGAAAAACAAGATTTTGTGTAGATTACAGAAAGGTGAACACAGTAACAAAAAAATCGACATACCCACTACTACAAATCGATGACATTTTGTCATACTTGGGAAATGCAAAATGGTTTAGCACACTCGATATGTTTTCCGGATATTGGCAAGTTCCAGTCGAAGAGAAGTCCAAGCAATACACTGCCTTCGTGGCGCAAGGACATGGGACTTACGAATTTAATGTCTTAAGTTTTGGATTATGCAACGCGCCGGCCACTTTCCAAGAACTAGCAGACCAAGTTTTTTGGGATATGAAATGGAAGGAAGTGCTAATCTACCTAGACGACATCATTATATTCTCACAAACATTCGAAGAACACTTGAGCAAACTAAAGAAAGTTTTTGAGCGATTGCGACAAGCTAACCTTACTCTAAAACCAAGCAAATGCGAATATTTGAAAAAAGAAATCAAAATACTAGGATTCAAAGTAAAGGAGCAAGGCATATTACCAGATGAAGAAAAAATAATTTGCGTAAAAGGGTTCCCGACGCCAAAGAAAATTAAAGATGTACAGAGCTTTCT